AGGCAAGCAGATATGAGGTTGGACATTCCGTGTAGTTTTTTTCATATAGCCTTATTCCATGTGTGATATGCCTCTTCTTTGCCACCTAAAAACTGACAGGGGACTCTGACTCATTCAGATTCCATCCTTATTAATTCATATATTTTATCAATAGAAAGCAGATGGTCACATTCTCCTAGCCAGGGCACCGGACTTGCCAACACTGGAGTGTGTGCTTAATAGCTTTCCCCTCCCTTCCCAGCAAACACCATATTTTGAATGGTCAAGGGCCCCACAGCACAGCTGAAATGCCACATTTGCTCTGGCAAGAGCTCTGCATCGTCATCATCATTCCTAACCTCCTGGCAGCATGGAGACTACGGCTCACCCTTTCTTTTATATCCGGGCCACCTACTGCTGACTCTTAACTCTCTGGTGTCTCCTTCTCTGGCTCTACTTCTTCCTAATGTCCCCAAAGTGTCACACTTAGCTATGTACTTCAAAGCTCAGATTTCTATTTTGTGTTACTTCCCCATTTATGTCTCTCTCTCTCTCTCTCTCTCTCTCTCTCTCTCTCTCTCTCTCTCTCTTCTCTTTCTCTCTCTTCTCTCTCCTTAAATCTATTTTCTTTTTCTTTTTTAAGTTTTTACAGAGAGATAAAGGGGGGAGGGGAGCGAGAGAGAGAATTGAGAGAGAAACATCATTGGTTGCCTTTTATACAAGTCCCACTTCGGATTGAACTTGAAACCTGTATATGTGCCTGACTGGGAATCGAACCTACCACCTTTGTTGTAAGGGACTGTTGTTCTAACCAACTGAGCCATACCAGCCAGGGCCTCTCTCATTTTTAAGTGGATAGTTCTCAAATCTGCATCTCTATATTCTAACACCTCATCTTCCCATACATTAGATCTGTCAGCACCCAAAGCAACTTGAATTAAACTTTCTGGATCTATCTGGCTAGTGTGACTCAGTGATTGAGCATTGACCTATGAACCAGTAGGTCACAGTTCCTATTCAGAGCACATGCCCAGGTTGTGAACTCAATTCCCATAGGGGGCATGCAGGAAATAGACTATTGATGATTCTCTCTCATCATTGATGTTTCTCCCTCTCCCACCCTCTCTCCAAAATCACTAAAAACATATAAAATATATATTTTTAAACTTTCTGGATTCATCTTTCTTCCCAAAACAATTTCCACTTCAGAATTCTGTTTTTCTCAGAATGATGGCCAATATTCTCTCTTCTTGGTCCTAAATATTGGAATCAACTTTGATTCCTCTTCTTTCCTCATCTTCAGCCAGAAAAAAAAGTTAGTTAATTTTCCCTTGTAATGTCTCCTATCTGTTTCATCTTATCTATCTCTAATGTCATCAGTCTTCTCCATCCAAGCTTTCTTCACATCCTCTATGTAGCAGTTTCTAACTATGGGTCCTCCAACTTCATCCCTCCACTATGAGTTGACATCAATTACAGTGTTAAGTGACTCCTTATTAAGTATCAAATAATTACAGATGATTTAGCTTAATATTTGTGAATTTCCACAATGGACATTGCCCCCCAAGAGTGGTTTTAGAATATAATGGGAGCCTATTGAATATTAAATTGTATGTTAAAAGATCCAGTAACTGGACTCTTGAATCCAAAAGATATCTTTTGCCCAATCTTACTCTGCTCCATCTCAGTACAACTATCATGGCCTTTCACTCTTCTAAACCCCTCTCTGGATTTAACACCTTGATGTATCTTCTACTGGGCCCTGAACCCGGTTGGTGTTCTGGCTTTCAACTTCTGATCTGCCTCCTGATCCAGGTTATCAGGGGTATAGAGCACTCTGGCATGATCCCTTCTTCACACTCAGCTCTCCCAGTGCCCAATAATCAGGTGGGGAATGTGTTAAGAATAAAATTCCAGAACACACCTCTCACTCAGGTCAGGGATATAGACAGCATCTATATCAGTGTTGTTCAATAGAACTTTCTATTAAGATGGAAATGTTCTATTCTGTGTTGTCCAGTAGAGTAGCTACTAACCATATGTGGCTTTGAGCATTTGAACTGTAGCTAGTATTCCTGAGGCACTAAATTATTAATTTTATTTAATTTTTATCACTTTAAATTTAAATATCCACATGTGGCTAATGTCTACCATACTGAACAATGCATATCTATAATTTAACAAACACTGATTCTAATAAGCAACAGTGTTTAACCACCATTCCAAGTGACCCTTATGCACACTTACTGGCTCAGAGTAGGTAATCAACAAATGCTTGTTGAATAAATGGGTGAACAAATGAATACCTAAAAGAATCAGAATATAATTACCTTGAAATTTAAATCTGTCTCTTCTGAAAAAATGTTGAGGGGGGCTTTCCCAGATTAAAGAGGCTAAAAACATTAACAAAATGTAATAAATTGACCTTAAAGGAATCCTGGTTCAAATATTTTATATATATAACATTTTGGGGATATCTGGAGAAACATGTTACATGATGTTAAAAATTATTTTGTTTTCTTAGGTAAAATTATGTTATTACAATTACAAAGGAAAATGTCTTTATTTTTAGAAAATATATGCTGAGATTCTTGGGGATGAAGTGAAATTATATCAGCAACTTATTTTCAAGAGTTTTGGCCAAAAATGTGTGATTGTGTGTGTATGGAGAGAAAGACAGGAAGCAAACATGGCAAATGTTAACTATTATTGAATCTAGGTGGAGTACATTTGGGTGTTTATTGTATATATTATTTCTATATATTTGAAAAACAATTTTAAAGTTGAATAAAAATTCACCCACAATGAATTGGAAAATCCTAAAAAAATAAAATTTAAATACTGCATATCTTCTGACTGTTATAGCATAGTAAGAAGCTAGGAGAATTCCAGGACAAGTGGAATAGGGAAACTAAGACAGATAGTTAAATAGCAATTTGTGGCCACCAAGTAAATCTTATCTTCCCTAAACCAAGGACTCTTAGAATAAATGGTTTCTACTTCTCATCCGCAATTAGAGGGTAAATAGCTTAAATCATCCTACTCAGGGAGACAGAAAACAGAAATTAAATTAAGTGGCATTTGCCAACCACACCCAAGGACAGACAAATTAAGAGAATAAATCTCATGCTGACCAATCAGCATAAAGCTAATAAATTTTCAATTGATCTGCTCCTAAGAGTTCTCCTAAAAACCCAGCCTTTAAAACCCCTGAAGATGGAGGTCCCAGGCCACTCTCCCTCCAGGGAGCAAGCCTGGGCCATTCCCTTTCCACTCACCTTTCCCCCAGGTACATATCCCTTAACCTCTAAGGAACCCCATAAGACTTGAAACCAGGGGAGCAATAGGCAGCAGCAGCTCATCCTAGTCTAACCCCCTGAACCTGTCTCGAAGGCCCTCTTTTCTCTGACTTCCCAGTGGGCTAAAGCAGCCCAGCTTGGGGTCTCTTGCTACTTCTTCTATGCCCTTCCTAGTTTTACTGTCCTAAGTGTGTTTTTGCTGAGGTCAATAAAATCTTGCTTGCTTTTCTATATTTTGTCTCTTGACTGAATTCTTTCCTTCAAGAAGACAAGAACTAAGGTCTCCTCATCTCACCAGTAACATGACTTCCAGATGCTAACCCCTTCTCCGACTAACACAGCACTGAAATCATGATACTAATTCTCTAAGACAGGTGTTGCAAACAGGCATCCACAGATCTATATAGGCCGCATACACGTTTTTTTCCTTGGCCCAAATAGAGGTTTTAAAAGAATTAGTTGCCAATATTTAAAATGTCAAGAATTTTTATCTTGACATATTATGTAATTTTTTTTTGGTAACATAATTAAATATAAATTCTTTACAATAGCAAACCAGTATAGTTAACTTCCTATGGGACATGTACTATTCTAAGCATTTCAAGTACTGTATTTAATCCATTTGTTCCTCACAATAGGTAGGTATTATCATTTTCCTCCCTTTTCAGATGGGGAAACTGATGAAAAAAGAGGTTAAGTCACTTTCCCAAAGTCTCACAGCTATGACTTCTAGTGTCAGGATGGAATCCCATGCTGTCTGCTTCATAACCACTGCACTATACCACCACTCAAAAATCTGCACCCCAGCCAAAACTGGTTTGGCTCAGTGGATAGAGTGTCGGCCTGCAGACTGAAAGGTCCTGGGTTCGATTCCGGTCAAGGGCATGTACCATGGTTGCAGGCACATCCCCAGTAGGGGGTGTGCAAGAGGCAGCTGATCGATGATTCTCTCTCGTCGATGTTTCTCTCTATCCCTCTCTCTTCCTCTCTGTAAAAAAATGAATAAAATGTATTTAAAAAAAAGAAAAAAGATCTGCACCCCTCATTTCTCTAGGAAAATCAGAAGATCTGGAAACATTCCCACTTGGGACCAACTAACAAGAGCCCAAAAGCTATATTCCCCTGAAGGCAGGGTAACTTCTCTTCTTTTTGCCACAGTCCCCACTGCTTCTGGGGCCTTAGGGGTTAGGCTCTCCTCTCGCCACAGCACAGCTGAATACACCAGTGAGGGACACATGACAGATATTTCACCTGTGCACTGCCCAGACTAAGCCAGATGTCAGGCAATCCTCTAAGTGGACATGAAGCCTCAGTGGGAGAGAACGCTAGTTACAAAGGTAACTTGGACCAGACGTGTGTATGTGCAGCAGGTTTGGATGGTGGCAGAGTGGAATGTCAGGATAATTGTTGGTAGATAGTGGGAAAAAGTTATGAAAAGCCTAAGTTACACACAGCATGGTTGGCAAGAATGCCCCATAAGAGGCAGTGTGGGTCAGTGAAAAAAGCATAAATTAGGGTGGCCTGGGTTGAGACTTGATTCCATCGCTTAGCTGCTATATTACCTTGGACAAACTATTTAACTCCTTTGGCATCCATTTCCTTTACTATAAAATGGGGCAATAACATCTTTAGGGTGGTGGACGGAATTAAATTAGAGAAGTCTCTTTGGCCCCTGTTAATATAGATAACCATTCATGTTTGTATTTTTATATTTTCCCCTAGAGTTATAAAACAAGAAGAAATCTGGAAGCTATGGTAAGTACTAAGTTCTTCTTGGATCTTTACATATTAGGGGTCCAGGTTTGGCTTTATTTAGCCTGTAGCCTAAGCAGCTGGTATCTTGTCCTTATGGCTTATTTTTATTGGCTGCTTTGTCAAACCAGGGCTGCTAGAGCAGAACCTAGAAGAGATGGACATGGAGTAGGAGAAAAGCAGAGAGCTAAGGAAGATTTGTGAGCAAAGATTTTTAGTAAACCTTTAAAAATAAAAAATAAAATCCAGCAGTAATGTAAATGACTAAAGTCTCTTCATTCAGTGTTTCATTGAGTACCTACAATAGTCCAGGCAGTGACGGGTGCTAGGGATGCGGATGTAGACAAAACCAGACATGAGCCTGTCCTCCCAGCATGTCCACTGGTGGTAGTTGGTTAAATGAATGACAGCACTCTCATTCTGGAGTTTACACTGCCATTATGAAGAAAGTTTGTAGAGAATAATTAATAAAACAGCCTAATCTCATGTTATAATAGCAAGTTAAAAGACAGATACAAAATTGCATTCACAGTATTAACTGTGTAATATAAATCACCCATAATCCACAACTTAAAAATAATAATTGTCAACATTGAACGTCATTGCATTTAGCACTGTCTTTCCCCCCCCCTCCTACTCTAAACACCTCTATTATATACATAAAATGAACATACAGAAAAGAGTGATATAGTTATTATTTCTGGGTTGTGGGATTATGAGTGATTTTTCGCTTTTTTTCTCTACGATGTTCTATATTTTCCAAGGTTCCTATAGGGAGCATGTATAAACAGGAAATAAGTCCATTAAAAACTCAGTCACAGTCACACGTAGAGCTTCTCTCCCAGCAGTCATTTGTTTTCTCTTTCCCTTGGCCTTTGCTGTCTCCAGGGCAAGGCACGCAGGCCTCTACCGGGACAGCACAGGCACTGTGAGAGCTGCTTCAACCGTCACTGCCACATTCCCGTGGAGCCCAATGTCTCCTGCATGGTGATAAACTGCCACCTGTCCTGTGGTGCCACCTTCCACCTGTGCAAAGAGGCAGAGCATGAGCTCCTCTGCCCATTGGAGCAGGTTCCATGCCTCAACTCAGAATACGGCTGCCCCCTTTCCATGTCCCGCCACAAGCTGGCCAAGCACCTGCAGGTGTGTCCCGCCAGCGTGGTCTGTTGCTCCATGGAGTGGAACCGCTGGCCAAACGTGGACTCCGAGACAACCCTTCATAAGAACATCATGAAAGAGACCCCTAGTGAGGAGTGTTTGGACACAGCCCTGGCCCTCCAGGACCAGAAGGTCCTTTTCAGATCTTTGAAAATGGTAGAACTTTTCCCAGAAACTAGAGAGCCCACTGAGGAGGAACCTACTATGAATGGCGAAGCCAGCTGGGAAGAAATGGGAGGAGCGGTGGGTGGAGCAAATGCTGCTTTAGTGCCACATAGCTCCCTGTCAGCCACTAAAGAAGAGATGGCAGAACTGAGTCAAGAAGAACGCCAGATGTTGGCCAAAACCAAAGAAGGGATGGACCTCGACAAGTTTAGCCAGTGGGAAAATATTTTCAGCAAAGAACATGCAGCCTCTGCTTTAACAAACTCATCAGTGAGCTGTGAGAACAAGAGCCCTAATGGCCCAGGGAAAGAACAGATTTCCGTCAGCAATAACATGATAGGAGAGGCCAGTGCCGAAGAATTACAGGAAAACCAGAGACAGCAGGACTATCATGCAGCTATGGAAACAACAGGGCTTGCCCCTTGGCAGGATGGTGTTCTGGAGAGACTGAAATCAGCGGTGGATGCGAAGGACTACAATATGTATCTGGTGCACAATGGGAGAATGCTTATCCACTTTGGTCAGATGGCTGCTTGCACACCTAAGGAGAAAGACTTTGTCTATGGCAACCTAGAGGCTCAGGAAGTGAAGACAGTGTATACCTTCAAAGTTCCTGTGAGCTACTGTGGGAAGCGGGCGCGTGTTGGAGATGCCATGTTGAGTTGTAAGCCAAGTGAACACAAGGCAGTAGACACTTCAGACTTAGGGATCGCTGTGGAGGACCTGCCCAAGTCAGATCTCATCAAGACCACCCTCCTGTGTGCTTTGGAAAGAGAACTGAAAGGTCACGTCATCTCTGAATCCAGGAGCATTGACGGGCTATTCATGGATTTTGCTACCCAGACATACAATTTTGAGACAGAACAGTTTTCCTCTGGAACAGTGCTGGCTGACCTCCTAACCGCTCCCAACCCAGAGGGGCTCCATGTGGAACTCCACAGTGAGTGTGTGACCAGGAGGCACAACAAGAGCAGCTCTGCCTTCACTTTCACCTGCAACAAATTCTTCAGGAGGGATGAATTCCCCCTGCATTTCAAGAATGTCCACACAGACATTCAGTCAGGTCTTGATGGCTGGTTCCAGCATAGGTGTCCTCTTGCCTACTTAGGATGTACATTTACTCAAAACCATTTCCGCCCACCAGGGAAAAAGGCAAAACTAATCTATAGTCAAGAGCTCAAGACCTTTGCCATCAAGCCAGAGGTTGCTTCTGAGCTGAATGAGGGAAGGAAGAACAACCATCTCTCAGGCCCTGGAGGAAAAGGCCAGAATTCTCTCACCAGCCTGCCCTTGGAGATTTTGCAGTACATTGCTGGGTTCTTGGACAGCATCAGCCTGTCCCAGCTCTCCCAGGTGTCTGTGCTGATGAGGAATATCTGTGCCACTTTGTTACAAGAGAGAGGGATGGTCCTCCTGCAATGGAAGAAGAAGAAGTATTCCCATGGAGGCACCTCCTGGAGAGTCCACAGAGAGGCAAGTAAACACTCACTCATTCAACAAATATTTAAGAGCCTTTTGTGTGACAAACACTGTACTAGACACTGGGATTCTACTAAGTTACTGGGAATAAGACATAATTCCTGAGCTCAAGGTCAGTCCACCAGGGAAGGCAGACTGTTAAACATATTTATGGAAATACAAATGGTAGTACCTGTATATCTTTATGTGTGTGTCCTGGGTATATCTTCTGTGTTCTCACATTATCCATTCTCCAGCCTTCTTCACCAGGATGTACTCATCTCCTCCTACCGCCCCCCCCAGGAGGCTTATCTCTACAGATTGCCTCCACTGGTTCCCTTGCATTTCAGCTTCCAGTTAGGTTGGCCAGGGGTCTTCAAACTACGGCCCGCGGGCCACATGCGGCCCGCAGAGGAGTCTGATCCGGCCCGCCAGGTATTTTGGGCAGTGAGCGCAGCCGAGGTGTTACAGTAGGAATTAGTAGTTCATATAGTCCGGCCCTCCAGCTCTCTGAGGGACTGTGATCTGGCCCCCACTTTAAAAAGTTTGAGGACCCCTGTAACCTAATGGTTGTGTATCAGCAGGAGGCGGGCAGGAGGGAGGGAGAAGAATGAGGTTGACATTTCTATTCTTCTGGCTTCCTCTCTGCATGCATTCTCCCTCCCTGACACTTCGCAGTGGAATGTCTCTCCACTGCAAGTGGTTATGTCAGATGGCTCTTTCCGCATAGTGACTCATTCTGGTCCAACGATCTCCCTTCTTCTTCCATTTCAAGTCTGGGTACTGCCCTATTTCTTGTGGCTTTCCTAAACCATGTCCACAATTTGTATATCATTCCTTTAAAAAATACTCTTCAAATGACCCCATTTAATTGTGCCATATGTTTTCTGTCTGGACTCTGATTGATACAGTAGCCAACAAATTCCCCTCAGTTCCATGTCAACCATATTTTAAACAATTTTTGCCTTTGTTAAGGCACTTTGAAAATAATTTCTTAAATAATTTGCTCCACAATTTCCCCTAGTTCAAATGCCTATTGAAGTTTTTTTTTAAATATTTTGTATATATCAAATGTGTTCCTTTTCCTCCAGTTTACACTTGCTTAACTGTATTATAACTTCTATCACCTTATTTCACTTCTTGTATCATACAGAAGTGAAACTCCTAGTTCATTGTATCCAAAGCGATCTTAGAATACTTTCTCACGGTAAATATGTTAGTAATATGAACCACAAAGTTATGTGCCCATTGAGGTTCATAATTTCATAATTTCACAGTTGAGTTTCTTCCCAATATGTGGGTGTGTGCAAACTGGAGTTAGAGTTGTTTACATCTAAATTTATTAATTATGTCTAAAACATTGTGTATATTTACTATTATTCATTCCCTGAGCAGTCTTCTTCAAAAAAATCATTGAGATCCTTTCTTCCTATACACCCATGCCTACATACATGTGTTAAATAAACACTGACTGCCACCCAAACATGTGCTAGAAATAAGTACGAATGAAACTAAAGCCCTGCCCTTTGGACATTGTATCCTCTAGAATTACCTAATGTCTTCCTCTGTAAAATCAGATGTAAATAATTTCATTTACTTACTAGAAATTGCATTATTTTTTGGCCCATGTTTATTCTCAATTAAATGATTACTGCCCATTCATGGATATAATTTGGGATAAACTAATTTCCTTGCAGAAAGAGAGAGAGAGAGAGAGAGAGAGAGAGAGAGAGAGAGAGAGAGAGAGAGAGAGAGAGAGAGAGAGGAGAGAGAGAGAGAGGGAGAGAGAGAGAGTATTTAGGCGGAGCATCCTTTAACTCCAACTAAATTCTCTTTCTAGAGTTAAAATGGCTCTTTAGAGTAAAAGGGAAATTGTTCTAAGGTTCTAGAAAGCACTTTTCTTTCATAGGAACAATGGCAATAAACTGAGGGTGAAATGGTCAGATTGAAATGGTACTAGATTATGCCTACTCACATGGCCAGATTTTAAAACCAGGGACTTTGCCACCACACCCTAGGTAGAAAGCCCAGAGGATGTTTGAGTACCAGACACCTAGATTTTTACTGAGATTTCTGTTCTAAGCTTTCTTATATGTTGTAATACTTTTAGTTTCAAACACTAGAATACCAACTTAAAGTGACATAAACAAGAAAGAGACTTCATTGGCCCCCAAATAACTAAAAAGTACAAAGGGAATACTTAAATAAAGCTTGATCTAGTAGCTCAAGGAAATACCCCCAATTGATGTTTTTCTTTCCTTTTTAAGTCTCTACTTTCTTAATAATGGCTCCATTTTAAGATATAGGGTTCCCTTGGTGGCTCATGGTGGCTACTAGCAACTCCTAAAACTGCTGTTTCTCATTTCAAATGCAGAGGCAAAAAAAAAAAAAAAAAAAAAAAAGTTCCAGAGTTGAGTCTCATTGAAACTATTTGTATTGATTTGAACTACCTGGTGTGTGTGCGTGTGTGTGTGTGTGTGTGTGTGTGGTGGTGGTGGTGACAAGGGGCCAATATGCAGATTAATATAAGTCATTCTAATACAACTGGACTGGCTAGGAAGATTATCATTTAAGCTAGGAAGGGAAAATTAGGAATTGGGTGCTAGAGAAGGAACTACGAGTCTTCAGCAGCCACTAACCACTCCCTAGAAGCTGAGACCAGGAAAAACAGGAAGACATTTCCTTATATCATTCAAATAAAGCTAACCTGAGGGTTTTGCCCCAATGTTCACTTCTGAGCTTCTGTCTTTCCCAACAGATCTGGCAATTCAGCAGCCTCTTTTCTAAAATCAACAGCTGGGAATTTAATGAAGTCACCTCCATGTCTGAGCACCTGAAGACGTGTCCTTTCAATGTTGTGGAGCACAAGACTGACCCAATTCTTCTAACCAGCATGTGTCAGCCCCAGGAGAAGGCCCGAGAGAGCTTGGTCACCACCTTTAGAGCCAGACCACAAAAAAGACAAACCAACTAAATGTTCAGATACCTCCCTTCTTGAATTTCTCCTTGGAGTTACTGAAAGTAGGACAGAGACTGCTTCTCTCTGTAAACTGCATATATGCTTATCTGGGTGTATTCGAACATGCATTGTCCTTCAAGGTCTAAGAATTTTCTAAGCCCTGCCTTGTACCTGCTATAATACCATACTGATGACTTACTTCTTTTCCTTTTTTATTTCTAAGATAAATCAGGCTGAAGAGAAAATAGGTAACGAGGTCATTGAGGAAGATAAGCCAAATTCCTTAGAAATGAGAGAACAATGAATTCCATAACCAGTATGGGCCTGTGCTTTTATTAGGCAGGGGTTGGGGTGGTCAGTTTATAAGCACGTTCCGATTTGTGGGGCAGGCAATACAGGGATGTGGACTAAGATGCCGGTCCTCCATGGTGAAGGGCTCACAGTTGCAAGGTTCTGGGGTCGGGGCTGTTAGTTGCCCCACTACCCCTAAGCCAAGACAGTCCGAACACAGCCCTACAGAATAGAGACCTTGGCTAAGCACAGCAGCCTTGAAGACATCACAAACCAAAGGATAAATGTTGTGCACAATCTTGGCAACATATAAGAAAAACCTGAAAAATGAAGGGTCCATAAGACACACTATATTCATGGAGAAAATTAGGGCAAAAAGCCTCAAGCCTACATTTAAACATTTTAATAATGATTTAAGAATCAAGGTTCTTTTCTTCTGAAACCTGTAGGTCCAGATTATGAAGAACATTGCATAGCCCAGCACCAGCACCCACTGCAGGGCCTGTGGCACCAGTCACCAGGTCCTAAACACCACCTGAGTAACCCATGGGGATCTTGGGAAGGAAGTGGGACCATAGTGGTTCCCTGTAATCGTTCCTACATGTTATTGGTCATCTTCAAGTGTCAAAAATGGGTGACACTGCTATTTTGGGTAACAAACAGTGATACTCATGAGAACAAAAGTAAAAGGAAAATACACAATTGAAATTGACCTCCCCTAAAGCAGAGTTTCTGGGAACTGCTGACATTGTGGACTGAGTAAATCTTTGTCACGAGGGGCTGTCTTGTGTGTCATAGTATATCTTGCAGCATCCTTAGCCTCTAGTCATAGTACGCCCACAGCTGTAGCAACCAAAACTGTCTCCAGACATTGTTAAATATCCTCTGAGTCACTCCTGGTTAAGAAGCACTGCCCTAAAAGATGACATACCAGTGGCAGTAAGTTAGGATTGGCTGTTTAGTACAGCAAAATCTCTCACACACAGTTATCTACAATGGTGATGACTGCATCAGCTTTGTAGTTACTGAGGAGGTTCTAGACACATGGAGATATTAACTTGTGAATTGAATTAAGTGGGGCTGGTTTGTTTGGTGTGCCTTTATGCCCTGGGATCGTGTTCAAAAGCACATTCCTTCAGCTCTCCCCCAGTGTTGCTGAAGCCAGGAGCTATTTATCTTGTGTTTACATCCCTCTCACTTTAATTGGGGCCATTTTCTCAGTCCTAGCAGTCCTCAAACAAGTGAGAAAGAAGGGAAATGAGGACAGACACTGTGGGCAAGTAGAGAACAAAGAATTTAGCCAACAACAACAACAACAACAACAACAAAAATGAGGCTAATTGATCTGAATGCTTGCTGTTGCCTGGATCTCTCTTTGAACATGGTCTGAAGCTGGTGTAGATGAAGTAGGTGGCACCTCTGAGAGGAGACAAGAAGCATTTGAGCAAGTCCCAGAACAGAAGTATGCTCATCTTTTTATTAGAATATGCCACTTGGTACTATTCGGTTATGTAACTATTTTTCCTCATTCTTATCGTTTGGTTTATATTGCACATTTGTATAGAAGGAATCATTTTCTAAAAATACAAATAGAGTGTGAGCTAAGATTTTATTCGGTGAAGATGAGTAACTAGAAACAACTAACCACTGAAGTGGGAGGGGAAGGAGAAGGGAGATTGCTTCAGGTGTCGGTTCCATGTATTTTGGCTCTAGTCCTTCCTATATGAAAAAAGAAAGCTCCCAAAGTCCATTCTGGGTCTTTCCTTTTACTGGAAGAAAAGAAAGAAAGGGGAGCCAAGGGAGATACAAATTAGGGGCTACAGTTAGATGGGTGAGAAGTATAGAGAAAGGAAGAAAGCAGAAGGGCTTTCCCTTTGCAATCTGGGTGGGTGGGGGCAGACAGGGCTCAGGGAGCAATCACGACAGTGCCACACAGCTCTGTGGGCTGCACAGTTTCTGTCCCACTTTCCTTTCCTTGTTGGTGCCTTCAGAGCAATATTGAATCAATCAACACCATCACATTTTGTAAGATATCTGATTGTACATCTTGCAGAAAAGCAGGATACCGCAGTATATGCACTGGTCTACACAAACAAGCACATTTTTAAAAATATATTTTATTGATTTTTTACAGAGAGGAGGAGAGAGGGATAGAGAGCTAAGAAATGTCAATGAGAGAGAAGCATCGACCAGCTGCCTCTGCACACCCCCCACTGGGGATGTGCCGGCAACCAATGTACATGCCCTTGACCGGAATCGAACCCGGGACCTTTCAGTCCGCAGACCGACGCTCTACCACTGAGCCAAACCGGTTTTGGCCAAACAAGCACATTTTATGGTGAGAGGGCAGTTGGAGCAAAAGGAAAACTTTTTATGAGACTGAATTAGGCAGAAGGTGATTTGGTTAGTGAGATAAGGCTGGAGTGAGTAGCATGGGTGGCAAGCATTATCTGACAGAGGCAAGACAGTTAGACATGGCTTCAGACTAAGAAGCACGGAGGGGAGTGGAAAGGGACAGTGTACCCAGGAATAGGAGCCTGGCTGGAGAGACGTCTCTGAGCAGAGCCCTTGATGAGTATCACCACCAAGATAATCGGTTCAGAGTAGAAATCAGCCAAAGTGGAGGGAGAGGTCTGGAGAACTGAGGCAGTTCTGTAGAATTGTTGCTTTAACAGCATAGGGGTCTGGAAAAGAAGTTTCTGTCTTAAAATAAAGGGGAAAAGTGAAAGAAAAAAAAATCAAGGAGATACTTGGAGATGTAACCATAAATTCTGATGTAACTGTAAAATTCTGATCCGTGTGAGATGTCAAATAAAATTGATGTGAAGAAGGGGATTGTGTATATCTATGATGGCTTACTTTTGTGTACTGGAAATCCCAATGTCTATATAAGCAGCAATAAAAACTGCTTTCCACTCTGAAAGGCTAACTGGGTGAAGCTTGTAAGGTAGAACTAGAGACAGATTTGTGATTCACTGGCAGAGAAGTCATTGTGAAAACAAAGGAGTGTGTATCTTAAAGAAGAGACTAAGCCTGTGGGACACAGTTCTCCAGGCACATGGGCAGCTCACAGCTTTAGGAAGTCCTGGAGCATCTGTGGATCTCGGTCATTAATCCTAGCTGCCACTCTCTTCTTCATCTTTGAAAGTTGGGCCCAACTTCTTATACTGATTATAGCACAAACTTCTATGTCTTACTAACAGGATTCCCTACACCAACCAAATCTCTGGCTTTGATTTAGATTTTGTACTGATTTTGCTCACATCTCCTTTCTCTGGCCTTACAGAGCGCAACGGCCTGGGCTAGGATAAACCCACCATGCCCTGTCCTGGTTCTCCTCATCCCCATACTTTGCTAGTGATTTGTTGGTACCCATCACTGACTGTCTAAATGTTTTCACTGTTTTTCACATCATATTCATCCCTGAACTACACAGAGGCTTCATGAGCTTTTCCCATCTACCCACTTACTTGGCCATCAATTTCAGTCATCCAGCTACAAAGAAGTTGGGACTTTCTTGAGTAGAGGACACAGTCTCTGATTAAATCCTCTTACCAGTTCATTAAAGCCTGTGTTCCTTTAGCTTTTGCCTTTTTGTTGTTGTTGTTGTTGCCAAATATCCCTTTTCCTCCTTCCTAATCTCTAATTTGTGCTTCTTCCTCAAGAATCTTCATATCCTAGAAGAGTTCTACCCTGCCTCCTGTTCCCCACCTTGCCACCATTCCCTAGGCTGATCTGTTAGGACTGGGTTTAAATATAGCTAAAGGAAAGGGCTAGACATCCAGGGCACAGGAGGATGGGCATTGGAGGGAGTCTTCTGGATATGCCTGAAAGAGGGAAGGAGAATTGGGAGCCATGAGAGTCAAGGCCATTGAGAGATGCGCAAAAAGCATTATGCACTTCAGCCTAGAGGTTAAACATAGTCCCACTTTATTTCCAATTTTAAGACTGAGCGGAGAAAATGTATCTCTGCAGGGAAGGTAAGTAAGCAAACAGCACAACCAGGTAAACCAGGCAATCTAGACATACCTTCCTCGGTATGCAAACCAGGAAGCTCAGAGCTCACAAGAGCAGAAGGCAGAGCTTGAGATGTTTGAAGGAACACTTGTGGGGAAGAAGGTGGGGCAACAAGATAAATGTATATAAGCTTACACAGGGTAGAGAGGACACTGAAGGAGAGCTTCAACCTCATGCTATCTCTGCCCCAGACCCTAAAGAAGGAGAGGAAAATCTATCTTGAATCTCAGGCAACTCATGAAATCCTATTAGACACTTGCAGCAGGATGGGAGGAAGTGGAGGCAGAGCCACTTGAATCATGGGAAGTCACAGTGCAGAATACAATGTGGGCCATTTACTGGAGAAGGTTGACATAATTTGCAGGGAAGAGTCCAAAGCGACCGTGGCAACGTCCTCGCCACCAGCCCTCATCCACCATCTCAATATCAGTGATGATGTCATCTGGATCAAAGGAAATCTCATCACTTCCCTCTGGAGAGGAAATTGACAGGATATTAGGGAGGTCAAACAGGAATCTCTTTATCCCTGTACCCTCTCTAAACCTCAGGAAGAGAAATAGCCCTGGTCATCTTGATGCCAAATCTGGACACTTCTGTGCCCCTCAGAATTCACCCCCCTCCCTTGTTTCAAGGACCTTCAGACACCAGACCCCTCAGGTCACTCCCAACTTACCTCCTTGGTAATCATACAGGGCTATAGCTGAGATCCCAGCCCCAGCTGGACAGCCTGATGATCCTGCATTATCAAAAACATAAACATGGTCTCACCAACATGCAAAACAAATAGGTTCTTCCGGGTAATGGGGCAATGCTTCCTTTTACCCTCCCCAAGACCTGACCAAATCTAGGAGCTGATTCTCCCTTCTACCACTCACCAGCCACAGAGGAGGGAAATGAGGCATCTTCAGGTTCCAGCACATCCTCATAGTCCCCTTCTAGTTCATCATCTTGCTCATTTCTGTCCATATGCGCAACGTCCTCATAGTCATTCTCAAGCTCTGGCTCTGGCTCCAGCTTAGGCACAGGCTCGGGCTCGGGCTCAGGCTCAGGCTCAGGCTCAGGCTCTGCTTCATATATAGGCTCTGCTTCATATACTGGCTCTTCCTCCACCTGGAGGCCTTCCAGTGTCCTGGGGGGCAAAGCTGGGGGCTCCTCATCATCCTGAGGAGAGACAGTGTGGAGGAGGGTAATTCGAATTCACCAGGAGCTGCTGCTCCAAAACCTTCCAATGGAGGACTGCTAAGACCACACCTAACACCATCCTACCATTTCTACTCTTACTTCCATTTAACAGTCTCTCCTAGGATACACAGTCATTCATCTATTTTTCATTCCTCAACCTTCACATCTACCAACCCACTCAATAGATATGATAGGACAGGAATGTAAAAGGTGTGAGGAAAGGAAAGTTGGAACCAGATTCCTTAGAAGACCAAGAAAACATTGAAGCAAGAGCATATTATTGGGAATACCACAGCTAGGATGACCAGCTTTCCTAGTCTTCCCAGAACTGGGTGGTTTCCCAGAATGCAGGACTATATATATATTTTTTTTCTTTTTAAAAGAAGTGACTCTTTTAATATATATATATATATATATATATATATATATATATATATATATATATATGATTTCAGAGAGAAAGAAGAGGGAGTGAGGTATAGAAACATCAATAATAAGAGAGAATCATAAATTGGCTGCCTCGTGCATGCCCCCCTACTGGAGATACAGCTGCAAACAAGGCATGTACCCTGACTAGGAATCAAATCATGACATAGTTCATAGGTCAACACTCAACCACAGAGCCACACCAGCTGGGCAGGACTATCAGTATTGAGATCAGGACAGTTTCAGACAAACCAGGATGGTTGGTCATATTCTATGGTCCGTCTTCCTAGGACATGAGGAGATGGGGTAGGGACAGAGAATCATTGGGGCTCTGCTTACCTCTGGAGATTTTTGCCTTGAGGGCAAGGAAGGCAATGGTTGTCCCCTGCTGGTTTTCACAGGCTCAGGATCTGGCGAAGAGCAACTCCCTGCTGGAGGCCAGGTCTATGGAGAATGAAGCATCTCTCCAGTAAGCAAGCAAGCCTGCATTTTCTCTCTTATACTGACTTGCAACACCCCCTACTGCCTCTGCCAATCCAAATCTAACTCATCCATCAAAATGGGTTCCAACCTGTAGCAATGGCTCTTTCCTCTCAGTTCCTGCAGCAATGATTGGCTATATGGCTGGTGACCTGTCTTTCCGCAATCCAGGCATGTGCCAGAATTGGGAATCAAACTTATGACCTCCCAGATCATAGGTTGATGCTCAGCCACTGAGCTATACTGGTCAGGCTTCTGTTATACTGTGAAAATCTTGCCCATTCTAACAATCTAGTATATATGAGGCCCAATAACACAGAATGAAATATTCCTGAAGGCAGGGAGAGCACTTATATAGCATTTCTTAACACAGGGGAAGCCTGTGCCTTATTTTCTACCAAAGATTTGGAACCTTTAGGTTTCTGTTTGGGCAGGAGTCCTGGATCTGGATCCCAGAGCACCAATTACTCACCTGTGGGGAGATTTTCTTAGGCAGTGGGGCTGGCACTGCTGGCTCTTGCACAGTAGTTGCAGGAGGCTGAGCCTCGTGGCTTATCTTTACCAGGGCCTTTCTCTCCTGTTGCTTCTTGGCCATCTGCTGTGCTTTTTCTTCTTCTTCCTTCTTCTTCTTATCCTCAGCCATGGACTCAAATTTTGCCTTCAGTCCACGGGCTCCACTAGAAGCTATAGACATAGGCAAGAAGAATTAGGGTTCTCTTAGGTCAGGAGAGGGGGGTGTTAGTGTAGCATTTCAAGGAAAAAGAGACATCTGTCTCTTTATCCTCTTAATCTAGTTTTTCTAGGAGAAAGAATTTGAGAATATGAGGATAAGGGCCAAGTGTCCCTCAGCTAATCTAGGTAGTTTAAGGCATAGAGGAGGCAGTCTTGGGGGAAGAAAGAGTGAGAAAGGAGAAGCAGTTGAGGAGCATAGAGAAAGGGAATAAAGACTCACCAGCCTCTACAGGTGTCGTCTTCTTATAAGCTGTGGTTGGGG